TGCAAAGTATTTTTCTATCTTGATGGATGAAGCCACAGATTGTGCAAATATCGAACAGATGTCTTTGGTTATTCGCTTTGTGGACAAGCATTTCTTAATTCGTGAAGATTTCCTTGGATTTATTCCATGCACAGAGGGCCTATCTGGTGAAGCAGTAGCTAATGCAATTTTAAAACACCTTAAACGTTTAGAATTGTCAATTGATTATTGTCGTGGTCAAGGCTATGATGGAGCAGGGAACATGGCCGGTAACTATTCTGGTGCAGCAGCCCGAATAATAGCTATTCAAGAGAAAGCAGTGTATGTGCATTGTAATTCGCATATTCTTAATCTTTGTATTGCATCATCTTGTAAAGAACAGTTCGTACGAAATATGATGGATGCAGTTCGTGTGACGTCCGAGTTCTTTCGATTTTCCCCAAAACGTTTTGATTTGCTAAAGAAGATAATTAAGAAAGAACTGCCCAACTGCCGTCACAAAGTTATTATCGACGTTTGTAAGACCAGGTGGGTGGCAAGGATTGACGGTTTATTAAATTTTATCGAAGCTTTCCCGGCTATTGTTCAATGTTTAGACGAAATCAAGGATAATGTTGACGGGCACTGGAATGACGGATCAACTGAAAAAGCTAACGGTCTCTATCACAGCATCGACAATTTTCAATTTATTTTGGTCCTTGTAATTGTTTCCGGCTTTCTGGAGATAACCAGACCACTTACTGTTCAGTTACAAGATTCTAGTCTAGATACAAATGCAGCTCGTGAAAAGGTTTCTCTTTTGTTCGTTATGTTGGAGAGGTTCCGATCTGATATTGAAAGAAAGCATGAAACGTGGTTCAAGAATGCTGCTGACCTTGTTGGTACTCTTCCTTCTAAGCCACGAACAACTCGTTTACAGAGTCACAGACCCAATACTCCAGCAGAGTCCATTTTGGAGTATTATCGTAGGGTTGCGTCCATTCCTTTCCTGGATCATCTTATTTCGGAAATTAAAAAACGCTTTTCTGAAAGAAACTTGAACATTTTGGATGCCACATATGGAATGCCAAAAAATGTTTTGTCGAATCCAGAGGGATGGAAAGAAAGATTTTCTCAGTTTCTTAACAAATATAAAGACGACCTGCCCCAGCCTCGTCTTCTTCCCACCGAGCTTGAAATGTGGTTTGAAAAATGTCGTTTATCTAAAGATAGCTTGCCGTCTAACCTCGGCGATGTTTTGAAGTTTGCAGACAAGGCCTCTTTTCCTAACATATTAACTGGTTTTCTAATATTCGCAACAATTCCAGTAACTACTTGTACATGTGAACGATCCGTTTCTACCCTAAGACGACTTAAAACATATTTGCGAAATTCCATGTCAGAAAGTCGATTAAGTGCTTTAGCTATGTTAAATGTCCATCGCGAAATCCCGCTTGATATTGACGAGGTTATCGATTTATTTGCAAAAAAACATCCAAGGAGAATTATCTTGCGTGAAGTTATAAATGATGATTGATAACTTTGGCTTTTCTAATCCAGTCATCGGCTAATCTTGGTGGTTGCCAAAGCTTGCTCACTTTTGCCAGTAAAAAACATGTTGGGTTTCGCAGTATCTTGGCGAAAAAATGATCGAATATGGCTTAAAATTCAAAAAGTTGAAGTCACCATCCACAACTTGTTAGGTAGAGGGAATAAAATCTCTTGACGGAATTCTTGATGCCTATGCTGTGATTTACAATGCATTGGATTATAGGAGTAGTATTACCAACGAAAAAAAGAATAACATTTATTATTACTTGTTGCCTGCCTTTAATACGATGATTACATCTTGAACATTTCTTTGCTATGTCTACGTATCTTTTCCTGCTGTTGGAGGAGTGGTATTATCAATGAAAAAAAAAGAATAACATTTATTATTACTTGTTGCCTGCCTTTGTTACGATGATTACATCTTGAACATTTCTTTGCTATGTCTACGTATCTTTTTCTGTTGTTGTTGGAGGAGTGATATTATCAACGAAATAAGAAGAATAACATTTATCATCACTTGTTGCCTGCCTTTGGTACGATGATTACATCTTGAACATTTCTTTGCTATGTCTACGTATCTTTTTCTGTTGTTGGAGGAGTGGTATTACCAACGAAAAAAAGAATAACATTTATTATTACTTGTTGCCTGCCTTTAATACGATGATTACATCTTGAACATTTCTTTGCTATGTCTACGTATCTTTTTCTTGCTGTTGTTGGAGGAGTGATATTGTCAATGAAAGAAGAAGAATGACATTTATCATCACTTGTTGCCTGCCTTTGGTACGATGATTACATCTTGAACATTTCTTTGCTATGTCTACGTATCTTTTCTGTTGTTGTTGGAGGAGTGATATTATCAACGAAATAAGAAGAATAACATTTATCATCACTTGTTGCCTGCCTTTGGTACGATGATTACATCGTGAACATTTCTTTGCTATGTCTACGTATCTTTTCTGCTGCTGTTGGAGGAGTGGTATTATCAATGAAAGAAGAAGAATAACATTTATCATTACTTGTTGCCTGCCTTTGGTACGATGATTACATCTTGAACATTTCTTTGCTATGTCTACGTATCTTTTTCTGTTGTTGTTGGAGGAGTGATATTATCAACGAAATAAGAAGAATAACATTTATCATCACTTGTTGCCTGCCTTTGGTACGATGATTACATCTTGAACATTTCTTTGCTATGTCTACGTATCTTTTCTGTTGTTGTTGGAGGAGTGATATTATCAACGAAATAAGAAGAATGACATTTATCATCACTTGTTGCCTGCCTTTGGTACGATGATTACATCTTGAACATTTCTTTGCTATGTCTACGTATCTTTTCTGTTGTTGTTGGAGGAGTGATATTATCAACGAAATAAGAAGAATAACATTTATCATCACTTGTTGCCTGCCTTTGGTACGATGATTACATCTTGAACATTTCTTTGCTATGTCTACGTATCTTTTTCTGTTGTTGTTGGAGGAGTGATATTATCAACGAAATAAGAAGAATAACATTTATCATCACTTGTTGCCTGCCTTTGGTACGATGATTACATCTTGAACATTTCTTTGCTATGTCTACGTATCTTTTTCTGTTGTTGTTGGAGGAGTGATATTATCAACGAAATAAGAAGAATAACATTTATTATTACTTGTTGCCTGCCTTTAGTACGACGATTACATCGTGAACATTTCTATGCTATATCTACGTTCCTTTTCCTGCTGCTGTTGGAGGAGTGGTATTATGAAATATCAATGCAAATAGGAGAATAACGTCATTAGTTGTCCTTGCCTTCTTTTCACATCACTTTTACTACTGTTAGAAGAATGTGGTCAAAAACGTTTGCTTCATTTGTTTGATATAAGAAGGCGGCTCATGATTATTTTTGTGCTGTGAAATAGTTTCTTTGCTTTTCACAAAAAAAAATATGCCATGCTTCTCCCTTTTTGAAATCACTCGTGTATTGGAATGATACCCTCGTGATTGAAAGTTGTTGAGAAGGTATGAAACTTGAGAAAGCTGATAATAAAGATGAAACTGTTTAATAGTGAAAATTTTCATTTTAAATTATTGAAATTTACGAAAACTTAATTAACTAAGTAAAGCCAAGGTTTTTGCAAATTTTAACGTCAAAATGCGGGAAATCACATTTCCGAGGGTCTAAAATTCAAAATTTTCCGGGGGAGCATGCCCCCGGACCCCCTTAGAGGACTCGCGCCTTCGGCGCTCACAGTACTGCATCAGTCACGAAAATTGCTGGATCCGCCCCTGTGTACTATCTTGAATATCAAGAAAACGAGATGTCCCTTTTCGGAATTTCTTTTATTTTGTATTACTAGACACATATTATCATATGATCATTACATTCATTACTCAATATAGCGACTGTCTCTCTTTCCCCATGTGAGTACGGTTTTTAAAATCTCAAATATGAATGTCGTTGAAGACATTTTTTGATAAAACGATGTTTCAGTTCAAGCGACAACATCCAAACTATAATACTGTGGAGAAATTACATGCATCTGCCATATATTAAACAAAATCTTCCAACATCCTCTCAACTCAATGAAACTTTGCCGAACGCAATTAAAATTTGCTCGTAAAGTGTCTTCATTTGACAGCCGACATGCTTTCTCCGTTTACGAAAATATCTTAAATTTTACTAGGACTTACATGACATACGTGCCGGGGGAAGCCACTGACTGACTCTTAAGCTAAAGCTTCGTTTAACGGCTCAGATATTTTATATTCCACGGGAAATGTCGCACTTTGTCCCGGTGTCGCAATTGGCTCCAGCATCGACTGCTACTTTGATTGTATTTCAAAAACATCAGAGCTACGCAAGCGCGTTAACATTGAGCACTCAGTATTCACGCTTATCAATGGAAAAATTTTTCGTGTAAAATACATTCAAAACGTCGGTTAAGTGAAAATTATCAAATTCGAAGCCGTATGTACAAGCCTTAAATTTGTCGGAAGTTATTTATAGTAAGGTTATTTATATTGCAATACTGACAGTAACGTCAGCTTGTCATTTAGTTTAAACGTTTTTGAAAAGTTGTGAAAATCCCTTTTTGGGACGTTTAATGGCTTTACTTTTATAATGTCAATACAATGTTATTTGGATGTTTTCCTTGACATATAAACGTCGTAGCAAAACTACAACCAAAATACAACGTTGTATGAACGTCGTGTATGTTTTAGGTCCGAGCAGACGAATATATGACCAAAATATAACGTCGCGATATCGTATTTTTATCCTTACTTGGTATTTTTTGTAGTTTGTGGACACCCACATGTACGCTCTGCGCACCAATGTCGTTGTGTTTTATGATATGCAAATATATAAAACGTTGAATGATTTGTCATGTCAACAGTTTTCTAAAGTAGCCCACAGATGGAAAGTTAAAATTTTCGAAGTATTTCTAAATAGTCTACAAAGTATAGTATGTTTTTAACATCTTTGGTTTTTCTCTTTCTTTATCTGTAGGATGCGATTAGTCAACTATTGCTTCACAAAGAAGACAATCCATATTTTTGTTCGTCCAGATTTCTTTGCGAATAGTAAGTTCGTAATATGTATCTACTTTGTATGAATAGAAAGTAAGTTGTATAGTTATATGATTTCTATGAATATGACGTGGGTAACAGGACAAAAAATATTATTTAAGCCTGTCAAATTCCACTTCCGTCTGTTTACAATTTTCGTTTTTAACCAATAAGATTTCGTATAGTCTGACAAGCATCGAGTAAAAACACTTTAATGCTCAAAATAAAACATGCCTTCAAATTATCGCAAATGAAATTATAAAAACGAAGCATTTTTTGAAACTTTGCATTTCATCGCAGAATTGCTTATATATCAGTTTGTAAAATTTTCGTGTTAACTAGCCACGTACCTCCGTGGCCCTCAGAGCTATCAAAGATGACGCACGCCGTCTTTCGGTTAAAGTTATCAATTAAGTAACTCAATATAATTCTGCCACGATAATAAACTGATTTATGCCCAAGGGACTTTCCAAACGTGGTCATTTTCTGGGAAACTTTCAGCCTCACCATTGCTGTGATTTGTAACTTTTTTGCCGTCTTTGCCTAAATTTACATTATGTACTGTTCTTTTGGTCATTTTCGAAATTACTTTATATTTTAATGATCATAAACATGTGTATAGTTACCTAACGTTGTTATTGGAGTCTTTGGTTATCATGCAGCTAGTAATTATTTTTTTATATTTTGTTAGAATAGATTGAATTAGATTTAACAATAAATCAAAACAAAATCAAATGCCAATATCGGCAGTTTAAGATGTGGTCGCTCGAAAAATGAATTTTCTGTGGCCAGCACAAGGGATGTAAAGCCTTCTGGGATCTCTATCTTCTTCCCTCCTTCCCGAAAAAAATTTAAATTATCAGTTTTATCGTGGAGGACTTAGTAAGTCGTCGAGCACGAATATGTTTTTAGGTTTATTGAAATGTTCGACAAACTTATTCTAAAACATTGTTGCAAAGAGATTTTTGACAAAACCTGGTATAAAGGCGATTTTTTTTTGACCAGCATTTGTTTGTCATTCAAGCAGTATGGAATAACATCGTGCGTGACGTTTTGCTGGTTAACAGTGTTCATTATATGTTTTATATGTTTTTCATCGATCTAATTCCCCATTATTACATTTTTTTTATAACACCCATTAACCAAAATGCAGCAAGTAAATGGTTTGGTAGCCACCTTTCTTTTGATTCTAAAATGAACTAAGTGTTGTAAGCCATGTGTATTGCATGATTTTTTAAAATTAACTCTCGTATATAGGTATCCATATTCAGCAACTTCCTTCTAAGTGCTGCTCAAAATGGTAGTGTTCTTACGTCTGTATTTATAGTGTCTTTTTGTCTTAAAGAGCTAATATCACCCTAAAGTGGATGAATTTATAAACATTTGCAGTATATTTCATAACACAAAAGTTGATCTTCCTTGACTTTTTGGGCCTCAAAGTTGGCTTTTCTTGTGTTTGAACGCGGGTTGCTGTGACTGGGTCAAGTTCACCGGACGTGACGTATATTGGAGAACACGTTGCTTTTCAACGCTATAAATTTATAGTGTTTATTCAATAATATGGTGAGCGATACCACACATGCTTATTAAAAGAATACTCCTCGACTGTGCTACAAATGTCACTATAAAGTACAACGTTAAAAAGCAGCATGCTAAAAGCGCGGTGAACTAGACCTAGTTACAACACCTCTCGGTCAAACACGAAAAAAAGCCAACTTTAATTTCCAAAAAGACAAGGAAGGTAAATTTTCGTTTTATAAAACATATTCCAAATGTTCTTAAAGTGTTTATGCGTCGTTTTAGCCCCTCTTTTTATTAGCTAAATATAAAGTTTGGACTATTTGATGGACTATGACATGTCGATGGACTTAAACAGATAAATATAAGTTCATTAAATTTGCCACTGAAGTTGGGTACTATTTGCGAACTTTCTACGACGCAATATTGAAACTTGTGACGTTTTTAGTTGAAGTAGTTTGTTAAACACGCCTGTTTCCGTCAATGTAATATTATATTATTGTAGATGATTTTATTGTCGATTTTCTTGTTTTACAAACAAATAAATACACAAATTTCCATAAAATACAACAAGAAAAAGTATTCTGAAGACTTACGGCTTCAAATCATTGCTCAGACAATTCGCAATCGATGTCTGAATCTGTTTCTAATTCGAGCTCGTAATCCTTGGGTTGTGTCGGAGCAATCAAATAACTTTGCGTACGACGATGCACAGCTCGCTGAACCTGGTGATGAAGTACGCACTCCAAACGATCCTGATGGAATTCTGCCTTCAACATTAGAGGAACGAAACGGTATAATTCCACTCAATGAATGGTGAGTTGTTGTTTTTCCACATATGCTCCATTACTTCCTGTTTTCTCCTATTTATAAAATACCTAAAGTCAATTTACAACTCACAATGCTCCGACGTTTTAGGTGTAACTGTCAATGCTGTCATATTGAATTGTTAGAAGGAGCATTAGAGTACAGGTGTTGTAAGGAAATGGGATCAGCTCTACAGAAAATTAGTTTAAATGGTAGCATTGAGAAAATATTGTCCATTACACAACATGCAAAACTGAGCCTTTACTCCACGTGACTGTTCTTGAAAACCTCCGGCCGCTGTTGAGAGACAGAAATGGACGTGTAAAATAGTAAGATTGTTCAAGAATTTTCTTATTAACAGTGTTTCATCAACAATAATTTGTCAAACCTTAATTTCCTCAGGTACTTGAGGTTGAGAGCTGTGGCATGCAATGGTTTTCTTCAGTGATGGGTTATGGAGAATGTCTTGAATAATCTACAAAAGTTATATTGAGATTATATACCAAGAAACGTTTACAGCAATTGAACTGCAATTACTGCATCAAGCGTAAACTTATTTGTCGTTGTTTGCGATGGGTCGTCCCTTCCTTAGATGTTTCAGGAATCCATCCACGTCAATGGTTGTGATAGCATCTTTCTTCGACCTTCTTTTGAGTATGACTTGCACTCTCAAATTAAGGTCAAAACAAGAATCCTCAAAATGTGCCAAACATAAACAAGAGGTAAAGGAATCCTCAAACCAGGTGTAAGTTTGCGCACAAAATTTACCAATTTTCTTCGTCTTTGCGGATCTGGTTTTTTTGGGGGGAAACAGATGCATCGATATTCCTTTGGCTTTTGAATCATTGGCACAACTAAGTTGATTTGGTCCGCCAGCAACACAGCGTTTTCCTCCGCATTTGTTATTAAGATTACTAGTAGAATACGTCTTATTGATATATGTTTTCAATTATCAACGTCACAACTCGTTAACATAACGATGAAAAAGTTCGCAAAAAAATTGCTGAAAATCGTGACGTTGAACGTTCATAAAATCACTTCTACAAATCCAATTTTAATTATAACTGCAGGAATATAATAACTGAAACACCGTCTTTCAATTTAGCTAATAAAACAGGGGGGCTAAAATTCGTCGCATAAACACTTTAAAATCGTCAACTGTCTCTAAACAGATTATTACCCTAAAGATGATACAGGCTCTTTAATCAGGGCATGTTAACACTATAAATACATTGTAATATTAATATTGCTTTTTTTATTCGCTCTGAACATTTTATAAGCACTTCAAATACACGAAGAATTATGTTTTATATAACTTAATTAGCAGTTCACAATTCTTTAATATCGCGTTTTCAAATAAACTATCATGGGTGTAAGTGTGTGGGTGAGGGGGCTCTTATTTAGTTTGAGTAACGAGGTTTCTCATTTTCTCTCTGTTTACAAGTAAGCACTCAGTAATACGCTAACATGGTTAGCGAGGAGTATATATCAGTATTGTAATGTATTCGTTAGAGGCTATAATTAATCGATATTTGATAGTTTCAGCTGTATAGTCAAAGGAAATCATACTTTGTTTCGCGAGTACAACTTTGTTCGAGCAACCCCTCATAATCGGTCTTCGTTTATCGCCATGTTCTCTAATTGTTTCAAAACCATTGGACAATGTGGAGGTAGGAAGTTCCTTGCATATCGAATGTGTTTAAAACCATACATCAGATGTGGTAACGTAATTTTGATGTGACAATTGAAAAAAGAAGTGTAATGGCGGCATCTTCTTGGAAATCTGCAAGCTTATCAAACATGAAAGGGAACCGTTCATTTTATGTCAAAGCACGGAAGACTTTATGGCTTCCCTACAAAATACTTTAAAGGCTCTTAATTTATAATTGTTTTATAAAACAATTATTAAATTGTTTTTCATGGTATCAAGAATTGTTCAGACCTTGGTCAAAATTATTACTTATCTGCCTTAGCTTCGCTTCGGAAGGTAAAACTGATGTCGGTCTGAATAATTCTTTATATCATGCTCAATCTTATTCAATAACTTCTAATTGAATTGCTTAATTTACTAGTAATGAATATGCTTGTTTTTTTCTCGTTATACAAGTTGTATTTATAATATACTTGAATTTTTAGATTTGCTAAGTGTAAAAGAGTATCATTCATTGTTATCTTTGATTTGTTCTGATTTTCCTATTCATATTGTACAAAAGTCTGCTAGGTAAGTGTTGTTTTCATGCAATGTTGATGCAATCTTGATTGTGATTGGCTAAAAGTCTATAAGTAGTTCTCAAAATTTTGCCACCTTCTATTGAAAATTATTTGTAGACAACATAATTGTTCATGTGAAAATTCATAATGGTGAATTTTGCTCGAGATTTCCAAACGTTTTACAAACTCTTTTCGCTCGAACTATAAATGTTGACGCATGGAAAACTTTATGGCCTCCGTACAAAGTAGTTTAAAAGGTTCTGCGTTTATAACTGTAGTATAAAGCAATTATTCAATTTGGCTTTCGCATGATATCAAGAATTATTTAGACCTCTGTCAACGTTATATCCGCCTCATCTTCGTTTTTGCAGATAATTGTTGATATCATGCTCAATAACTATCTAACACTTGTTGATAGTGTGATCGTTTTTATACTCATTTTGTACTATTCTTATTTTGCCGTTTTTATTTTGGAACAGTACCTTTCAAACGAAAGTTCTGAAATTTTGTGTGCTTGATACCCGAATGAAATGATAAAAGGTCATCAGTGGAACGGCATATATTTGCATCTACGCTTGAATTTTGAATTTTTCCTTATTCTTGCGCTTATGTCATGCTTATGTCGCATGCCTCGTTAATTATCTTTGTTTGATCTTTTGTCTACGCTAGTGTGCTTATCTTTATTTCACTCGTGTGAAGCAGGCTTAAGCATCGATTTTGCACTATGCTATAAAAGAATATTTTGATAATAAGATGATGATGCTATCTTGTAAATGATGTAATTTCTGAAGAAAGGTTTTTCCTGTTATCACCAGTGCTTTCATCTTGTTCATCCAAATTTTGTTATTTGTCGTCTATTTAACCGCCAGCTGTAGATAATTTTTGTAAGTTTTCAGTTTCTTTATTTGTCTTTTTTGCTTTTAATTATCTTTCGTTCACTGCACTGTAATGCCTTTTCTATTTCACTAAAGTTCTGACAGCTATTCGCCCAAGCAAATTGTTTGGTCTTCCCAAATGGGTTTCTGCATTGTCTCACCCCAAAGTTCAATTTGATCTCTACGTACCATCTTATCAGCTGATCACTAAAATTACTTAATTGTTTTAAAATTACTTAATACACAACTTGCATTATTACGTCACTTAGTAGTCACGCACATGAAAACATTGTAATATGGCCAACAAGCGAAAGTCTGAAAGAGAGTTTACTGCTGTTCGTGGTCATTTTTCTGAGTCAAGAAGTACGAATGAAGGCCCTAATTCTTTTGAGAACTGTTGATCGGATCTTCAGGAAACTTCTAGCTGAGAAAGTCGCGGCAAATCGGCGCTAGACGATTCGATATTTGATATTTAAATCGATTTCCAACTTTTGTTCCGAAAGCCACAAAACATTCTCAAACTAAACCTCGTCCAATTGAAAAAGCAAGAATTACGGCGCCTTCTGCTGGAATTAAAAAACGCTTGCAACCAAGCAGACTGTTTTTTTAAGTAAACTTTCAATGCAATTGCGATGTTTTTATGTTCATGACTGCTAAGCGACGTAATAATTCAAGTTGTCTATTGTTTTACACATTGTCCTTTCTTAAGGCCTGTTCACACGATCCGTTTTGTCGGATTTGATTGTTTTGGCTCCGACTTTTGGTTGCTTGTTCAGATGGTCCGAAAAATTTTAATGATATTTGTATTCGCAATAGTCGTTTGGGCAGCCATATGCGTTATCTAGTATGCATTTTTCGTATTTTTCTTCTTGTTTCCAAGTCTTTTTCAAATCTATGTAATTTGGCTTGTCGGCTTCCTCTGATCTTGTCCGATAAAAAAAGAGCAAGTTCTATTTCCATCCGATTTTTTCGACTAACGGACCCGACTGTCGGAGGCTCAATTTATAGGTATTCACACGGTCCGTATTTTCGGATCCGACCAAATTGATACGACAAATCAGATTGTGTGAACAGTCCTTTACGAACATGTTTAACTGATCTAATATGTGCTGTTTAAACATCTGAAAACATGCACTCTGAATGGAAGAGGGGGTGCAAAATCTTATATTATTCACAAGAGATGCGAGTTAAATTTTGCTAGAGCCTATTCTTGTGTCACACCACCAGCCATGTTGGTGGTTTGATACAAAAGAATATTTTATCAGGGTAAGTTGTAAAACATGGAATCTTGAATCTTGGAATCTACTTGTTTTAAATCATAAAGTAACATTTCTAGTTTCAAGTTCTAAGGACGCGTTCAATTTGCAATTTGAACATATTAATTCATTTAAGTTTGCCAATTTTGCATGCAATCTGCTTAGGAAAAATGGTAAATTAGCTACATTGGCATAATAGAAATGCGAAGGACACGAAATTACTTTCAATATAAGAGTAAAATTATGCGCACCCTGTGCGTTATAAGACTAAATTTTGTGAGTTGGTTTAATTCATATGTTACAACTTTTGCAATTGCCAACTATTAATTATTTATCACTAACAACCGTTATCGTACATAAAAGCCGTCGTCTCTGTAGCCGTAGTAAATACTTAACTGGAGGTGTGAGTATTTTGAGAGATACTTATGTGCAATCACGGCAATATTTCTTATAGTTCCTAGTAGCTTTCAATTATTGTAAACAGAACTTTACGTAATGTCTTGTATAAATAGAGTAGTTTAACCGAGTTTAACCATTGTAAAATAGACGTTTAACATTAACTGTGATCGTATATTGTTATCCTTGATATCCCTATTTGTTGGTGTTAACAAAACTTAACCCTTTGTAATAAGTAGATGACAACCGGCAACGGTATGTCAAATGAGCGGAAGATGATCACGAGTTATAATATGCGACTTGATATGCAATGTTATAGCCTTTTTCAGACTTTATTACACGGTAGAAGCGCGTAAGGTTTTCAGTTGAAAAAGGATTTTTAAAAACGATTTACTTAAGTAAATTTCAACGTGCACTTATTTTTGACTCGTATTTTATGAGATGCTACCTCGGTGAGAATCGTCGATATATGGAGTTTGTTTTTGTTAACAGAGACTACGGCTTTTATGTACCACGACGGTTGTTATATAGTGATAAATAATCAGTGGTTGGCAATAAAACAAGTTGTAGCAAATGAATTAAACCAACTCACAAAATTCGTTTTTATGACCTACAGGGGTGTATAATGTTGCTCTTATATTGAAAGTAATTTCGAGTCCGTCGCATTTCTATCGTGCCATTCTCGCTAATTTACCATACTTTCCTTAGCAGATTGCATGTAAAATTAGCAAACTTACCTGAAATAATAAGTCAAATTAAAAATTGAACACGTTTTTAGGACTTGTAAATAGAAATATTGCTTTATGATTTAAAGCAAATAGATTCCAAGATTCCAGATTCCAAGATTCCAAATTCCTGATTCGATGTTTTACAACTTACCATTTTATCAATATTATTGTTGGTAAGGCTGTCGTGGGCTAGCAGCATTGTTTGGTAAATCTCAAGAGAATGGTTGCAAGTCAAGAATACAAATTTTGCTATATAACCGTATCTTAAAATATTTATTTTATGCTCACAAACGCAGAAATAAAGTACGTAAAACGCAAAGAAAGGATGAAATGCATGAATTGCGTTGAAGAGTACCTTCTTTACTATTGTGTCAAATATTATAATGTTTGTTTTGTTTTTGGTTCATTCGCTCATAATCTTCAAGAGAATTTGCTGTAGAAAAAAACTTTGCATATAGTTTTTAAGCATCATGTTGCTCCTCAATCGTTCTATCATTATAACTAGTTCTTTTTTTATGATTAGTTTTTTATTTTTAGCTTGACAAAAAGTTTGTCAACGTGTGTTCTTTCAACACTGCCATCTTATCTTTGAAATAAAGCAGTAGCCTGTTGAACACATTGAATTAAAATACTTGAAACGCTACCAGTATTAAAAAGCACAATAATTCAATGAGGTTGAGTTGTATGCATAGACACAGGAGATTTTATCCCAGACACGCGTGTTTATTTCGCGATTCTCTCGAGGATATGTATACTAGACTGTGTAACGCATTTCTTGTGTGTGGGGTATCGGTCATACTTTAGCATCAGGGGGCGTATCTACGATTTTTCAAATATCAGTCATGGAACACCGTAGGCGTTCCGCACTTGGGAGGGGCGGGGGGGGGGTGAGTCCGAGGCATTGTCTCCTGGGAAATTTTGAATTTCAAAGCCTTGGAAATGCCATTTTCAGCGTTTTTAGAGCAATACGTTTTTTCCCAAAAAAAACCTGAAGTGAAGAATACTTGAATGTTTTGTCGAATATTTAGGCTCATTATCATGCCATATATTGGCATGCCTTGGAACATAAAGGTTCGTAGTGGACTACGAACAACAGTTTATCGCAAGCCAACACATACTGACCGACTACTAGACCAATCATCTTACAACCCTACATCACGCAAAGCCACCACAATCCGAACAATAACAAGACGTGCACAAATCATATGTGATTCACCGGACGCTCTACACAACGAAAACAACTATCTCAAACATATTTTTGACAAAAACAACTATAACTCTGACTTTATCAAACGCAACACTTACAAACCCAACGAACCTAACGAAACAAACAACTCAGTGACAACAGCAACGATATCTTACATCTGAGACTATCTCGCGTATCTTACGACCATACAACATACGTGTCGCACATAAACCAATCACAACGTTACGACAAGTACTAACGAACATAAAGGACAAAGAACAACCCAACGAACGACAAGGTGCAGTTTACAAAATAAACTGCTCCGACTGCCACGCCTCCTATATCGGGGAAACTGGCAGGAACTTAAACATAAGACTTGCTGAACAGAAACGAGCTACTAAGAAACAAGACAAAACTAATCACATTGCCGAACATCACCAAATCACAAAGCACAACATTGACTGGGACTCGGCAAAATGCATTACTTACAGTACTGACTATAGACAACGGCTTACATTAGAAAGTTGGTATACCAACTTGGAACAAACCCCCCTGTATACCAACTTGGA